GTACCCCCACCACACCTTCCCCACCCGTCCCCTGCCCTTGGCCTCACCCCTGACCTAGGCTGGCTCTTGCCCTGCCCACAGGCCCAGAGGGGCTGGAGACCGAGGTGCAGAATGGCGGCGTCCTGGGCAGCCGGAAGGGCGTGAACTTGCCTGGCGCCCAGGTGGACTTGCCCGGGCTGTCCGAGCAAGACGTCCAGGACCTGCGCTTCGGGGTGGAGCATGGCGTAGACATCGTCTTTGCCTCCTTTGTGCGGAAAGCCAGTGACGTGTCTGCAGTCCGGGCTGCTCTGGGGCCCGAAGGACAGGCCATCAAGATCATTAGCAAGATAGAGAACCACGAAGGCGTGAAGAAGTGAGGCTTGGCTTTTGTCCCTGTCAGGCCCTTAACCAGCCCTGTAGCTCCTCTTCCTCTCCTATCTCCTCTCCCATTTCCTCTCCCATCTCCTCTCCCATCTCTTCTCCCATCTCCTCTCCCTGGCATCTCCTGGCTCTTCCTCAACCCTCACTCCCTCAACCGCCCAGGTTTGATGAAATACTGGAGGTGAGCGATGGCATCATGGTGGCACGGGGTGACCTGGGCATCGAGATCCCAGCTGAGAAGGTTTTCCTGGCTCAGAAGATGATGATTGGACGTTGCAACTTGGCAGGCAAACCAGTTGTCTGTGCCACACAGGTCTGGAGTGAGCCTAGAGGGGACTGGGGCATTCTGTTGGTTTGGGGACACCTCAGGGTGAATACCTGTACCTTAGGTCTATAGTATGTTTTGCTGTATGGTGTTTGATCCTCAAACAAGGAAGAGATACTGTGACCTCCATTTTCAGATAAGGAGATTGAACTGCCAGGATCACACAATTTGTGACTGTGACCCTGGCTTTCAGGGCACTCTGAGAGTGTGGATGTCAGAGAAGTAGCTTCAATAATTAGAATGTGACTCCTACAGTTCTGACATCCAGATGTCCCCCAGATGCTGGAGAGCATGATTAGTAAGCCCCGGCCAACACGGGCAGAGACGAGTGACGTGGCCAACGCTGTGCTGGATGGTGCAGACTGCATCATGCTGTCGGGGGAAACTGCCAAGGGCAGCTTTCCTGTGGAGGCCGTAATGATGCAGCACGCGGTAGGAGCTCATAATGCAAGGCAGATGGGCTGGGCAGCCAAATCCCTGCCAGACCTTAGTGCCCCTGCCCAGCCTGACCTCCTGGTGCCTGCAGATCGCTCGGGAGGCAGAGGCCGCAGTGTACCACCGGCAGCTGTTCGAGGAGCTGCGCCGGGCAGCACCACTGAGCCGTGATCCCACTGAAGTCACTGCCATTGGTGCTGTGGAGGCTTCCTTCAAGTGCTGTGCTGCTGCCATCATTGTGCTGACCAAAACTGGCCGGTGAGGGGGACACTGGGAACACCAAGACAAGCCTTTGGGTAATGGGCAGGCTGGGATGGGACACAGGCTTGGGTTTTGTCTTATCATCAGAGATGAAGAGTACCATTCTGGGGCAAGAGGAGAGGTAGCTATGAGATCTGGAGGCCAGGAAAGGCGGATCTTAGGGCATACCAGGAATTGTGCCAGTGAGCTCCAAGAGGGCCGAGGGGGAGGTGGCATCCCTGGGAGCACTGGCTTCCAGGCCATTTGGACTCCTAGGGCTCAGAAGCCAGTACTTTGCATTTAGCCCACAAAGCCTGACACTGCTGGGGTATTGCAGAAGGGCCCAGAAGGTCTGAGTTCGAGTCTTTGCTCTGAAATGACACCTTGGATAAGTCACCAGGCTCTCTAGGCCTCCGTTTCCTCATGGGCTTGTGAGGATTAACCGGAGACATTTGTAACTTAAGTACTATACTATAAAGGTCTCTTCTCAAAAGGATTTTGTTTCTCAAAGAGTTTTTTCCTTACTACTTCATTTGATGTATCCTTTATCATTTCACGTCTTCCTTGTGTGGTAAGAAGGGCAGGTATTCTTATACCCACCTTGCGGTGAGAAAGACCAAGGCCCGAGAAATAGGACTTACCCAACTTGGGTCACACAGCTTTTTGGTGACACCTGGAACCAGAACCCAAACTGTAGTTTCCTGATTCAGTACTCTCACTGTTTTGGGCTGACCTTCTCTGCCTCCTTCAGCTCAGCCAAGCTTCTGTCTCGGTACCGACCTCGGGCAGCAGTCATTGCTGTCACCCGCTCTGCCCAGGCTGCCCGCCAGGCCCACCTATGCCGAGGAGTCTTCCCCTTGCTCTACCGTGAACCTCCAGAGGCCGTTTGGGCAGATGATGTGGATCGCCGGGTTCAATTTGGCATTGAAAGTGGTAAGCCATGTAGACTTCCTCTGCAGTCATCGTGGATTTGTATCATGAGTCCCCCAACCTCACTTCCCACACCCACCCAAAGCACCTTGCCTCTATACTGGTCCTAGATTTACTCTGTGAGGTTCACTAAGACTCAGAGATGTTTTGGCCTCCATGGGACATGCTGGGAAAGAGGGCAGAGGGAGAGAGAGGTCAGGGCCTTCCCTAAGAAGTCACCCCAGCTATTGCCTGCACCAGGTGGCTAGAGCCTGGTGTGATATAAGGAGCAGGAGGTGAAAGGAGAAAGGGGACCCAGCCCCCTGCAGCTGGAACTAAAATCTAATTTAAAACTGGCTATAATCATACCTCACCTCTTCCTATTGGCAGAGCAACACAGATGGACAGACTTGCTGCTTAGCAACACACCCCGTACTACACACAGACACACCTACAGTTCCAATATACTTTTCTTGTGGTGCTACCTGTGGCATACATTGTACAGTTTGACTCAGGCCTCTCATTCCCTACTGGGTGGCCTTGAGGAGGTAGAAGGTGGTGGCTCATTACAGGGCTGACCTGGGTCTCTCAGTGGCTGATTGTCATCTTCTTCCCCTCCCCCAGGAAAGCTCCGTGGCTTCCTCCGTATTGGAGACCTGGTGATTGTGGTGACAGGCTGGAGACCTGGCTCTGGCTATACCAACATCATGCGGGTGCTAAGCATATCCTGAGATGCCCCTCCCCGTCTGACCTAGCCAGCTCTGGACCCCATCCCTCCTCCCTGTTTCCTCCACTCCATGCCCCCCACACCCTTCATCTGTCTTCTCTACTCCCAGTCCTCCCTACCTGAGGCAGATTAGCTCCATATCGGGCTGCCCCTCTCCATTTCATGCAGGCCCTGAAAGTCTGTCCAGTTAAGCACTGGCCATCCAGCAGCACCAGTCTACAATGCCTCCACCCAGTGCTCTCAGCTGGGCCCTAAGATGTTCTGATACTTTAATTCCAGCTTAACTGGTTAATTGTATTTCCCCAGGCTTCCCACACCCAGGGGTCGGGGAGAAGAGAACAGGGCAATCACGTCCAATATCTACAAAATCACTACTTTAGAAATATTTCATATCCATGCAGTCTGATGTTCTCATATGTGGTGTTCATGGTAATTGGGTTATTTCCCAAGCAGAGTGCTATCTCTTCCTTCATTGTAACTGACAGTAATATCAAAGCACCACTGTTTGAGGGGAGCTTGAGTAGATGGATGCTGGGGAGCACATCTTATTACTGTCTTTACAACCTCTGCTGGGACTGCTGACCATTCCCCGGCTGCTCTGAGGGCCATCTCATGCCTTGCTGGGTGAGTTGCCTTCTCCTGCACCCAGAAATTCCTTCATACCCACTTTGTTCCCACACACAAACCAGGAGCCAAAACAAGTGTCTCTATTTTCTTTTTAAAACCCAGCTGTTTTGAAGCAATTATAAAACTTCTCCCACACACCCAGTTCCAGAACTCCCCACACAGGAGAAAAGATTTAGGGTCCTGGCCCCACATTCTTTGATGCTGTAGAGTAGGCATGGAGACACCAGGGTGGAGTAAGGGATTTCCCTTGTCCCTGAGAAGGCAGAGGTGCTGGCTGGCCTGCCCTTCCCCAGGCTCGCATACCTCGGGCCTTCCCCTTACTCTTGCACCAGTAGCAAGCTCAGTAGGGAAAAAACAAAAACTAAACTAAAAAGAACAGTTCCCCTACCCCTTCCAACTCAGGTGGCCCTTCTGCCCCTACCTACATAGGGAGAGAGTTCCAGTGTTGCTGCCAATGGAGTTGGACAAGGACCACAGGAGTTGGCATGGGAGGGGCGTGCTATCCTTCCTGTCTCCCTGCCAGGGGGGGATGGGAGGGGTGGATAAAGATATGGATGGATAAAAGAAACTGATAATAAATAAAATTAGCAAATGGATAAATGTAATTATTAAGTAATTGAATAAATAAATACGGAAGGGAAGAAGGAAAGAAAAAATGCCATCTAAGGATTCAGCCACTTGCCCCTAACTGGGGGGATCTAGGCTGGTACACTAAATAAGGAGGTGTCAAACATCCCTTAGCTTCAAGGAGAAAACCACTGGGGCAGGGGCCTGGGAGGAGGTGGTTCCCAGTTTACAGAGTTCTACAACAGAGACACAGCATGTAGGAAACCTGGCAGGAGACACATTTCCACTCAGGGGGTACAGAGAGGGTCTACACATGGCAGTGACGGTGTCAACAAAACATTTGTTGACAGCAGTGGGGGCTCAGGTAATTGGCTGGCTGTGCTAGGGGGCGGGAAGATAACCACTCCAGGCAGAACCTGCAGGGTCATGGGCAGGGAAACAGGCATCTAGTTACTTGGCAGTGACGGCAGTGGCAAGTACTTGTGCTTAAGAAGGTAGGATCATGGGCCTGGGCCTGCACCTGGCAGAACCATGGCTGGGGGAACGCCTGCATCACAGGGCTTGGAGTCACTTCTACTTGGCAGTGGAGACAGTTCCTGACAAACAGTGCCTTGAACATTGTAGGCACTCAGTACATTTGACGAATGGGTGAATCGATTAGGAGGCTACCGAGAGCCTGAGCTGAGGACAGAAACTATCTTTTTGGCAGTAAGGGGTGATATTCCCATAGGGCAGTGTTTCAGGTCCTCTTGGCCTTCACCCAGAGGCATCTGCCCTTGGGCACACACTTCTGCACTCAAGAGCTTAGTTAAAGGTTTCACATGTTGGCAGAGAGCTGGGGGCCCCTAAGGGAGGCTGGCTCAGGCACTGGTGGCCTGAGGAGCAGGGCTGCCCCTAGAGGCTTGGCCAGGGGCCCTGAGGAAGCCAGGCGTTCACTTCCTGAGCCCTTACACCCAGGAGAGCCATCACTTGCTGCCCGCTGAGGAAGAGAGGGTTGGGATGCTGAGAGTGGACGGCCCCAAGGTCCTAGTCGATGTCCACCTCCTCCTGAGGGGAGGCCCAGCAGGGACACCTGGGAGCGCCCAGCTTGGGATAGACTGGCGTGGAGTGTTCGGGCGGGTGGGGCAGGCAGGCGGGAGGTGGATGCCCATGGTCCCCGGGCCAGCAGAGGGCCAGCTCGGACAGGCACCTGCAGCGGAGAGGCTGGAGAGCCTGATGAGCAAGCCAGGAGAGTGGCTGGAGGGTTGGGTGAGAGGGGTAGGGGCTCCCGCTGGTGAGTCAGGGCAATGGCCACACTGGAGGTCACAGTGGCTGCCTGCAGAGGCGCATGCACCAGTGGCTCCCACAGCACTGGTTTCCCACTGAGCCGAGCTCCTGTGCCCAGGGCCAGACCTTGAACACCCCGAGCCATGTTCCTGTCATGTTGCACCAAGTGCTGCTCCGTGATGCTCCCACTGCTGCCTAGACTTGGCTCAGAGCGTTTCCACTGCGGCACAGAATTCTTCTTACCTAGAAGGTGTCCCAGTAGGGATGAGTGAAGGGTAGGGAAGGAATCCAAGATAAAAGTTGAATGTCAGAGTGTGAGAGTCAAGTGATGGGGGTGGGGTGAAGGTAGGGGATGTGGGTCAAGAGCATGGAGATGGAGATGGGGGTGGAGGTTGGGAGATGAGGTTGGAGGAAGATGGTCAGGGGATGAAAATATGTATCAGAGATGGTGAGGGTCAGGGTCTCAGGGAAGGAGGGCTCAGCATGGGGACTTAGGGCAATATCTCCAGGGACAGGAGATGCTGAGTGACAAGGACAGTGAGCCAGTGTTGAAAGGCCTATGGAGGCATTTGCTGGGACTGGGGTGGGCTGGGGTATGACACCGGAGCACTACAGCCTGGGCCCTGGGACAATGGGAGCTTCTTACTATGGAGACGTGTGAGGGCCCAGGCTGGACCCAGAGAAGACACAGTGGACAGGCCTTACCAATGCGGCACAGCCGATCCTTGGCCACAGTCTCGAAGGCCCGGCGCATCATGGGGAACTCCTCAAGTACAGCATTGAAATGGTCCACGCTGAGTGAGTAGAGGCGGCAGTAGGTGTCGGCCCGCACACTGGCTGTACGCCGGCCCCGAGTCAGCAGACAGATCTCTGCCGAATGTGGGAGAAGGCCTTCAGAACCACTGTCCCCAGAACTCGTTCTCACTGGGCCTGCAGCAGCTGACCCAGCTTCCTCAGGCTCCTCCCTCGATGGGAGAAACTTATGATCACTTACCCACCCCAGGGTCCCTAAATGCCCCAAGCACTCTCACTCTGCAGACCTATACAACGATCCATCGTCCTCACTCTCTCCAAACTATAGCTGACAATCAGGCAGGCCTTGCTGGCTCCCACACTCCTAGTTATTCCACTCCACTTTATTTTTATTTATTGATTATTGTTTAGAGAGAGAGATAGAAACATCTATCAGCTGCCTCCTGCATTATCCCTACTGGGGATCGAGCCTGCAACCCAGGCATGTGCCCTGACCAGGAATCAAACTGGAACCTCTCAGTCCATTGGACTATGCTTAATCCACTGAGCCTCACTGGCTGGGCTATCCCACTCCACTTTAATTCTCACCCCATCTCCACTGCTCTATCCCAAGGGGTTGGGCTGAGCCCTGGCCAGTTTGGCTCAGCGGTTGAGAGTTGGCCTGCAGACCAGAGAGCCCCGGATTCGGTTCCCACTAGGAGCACATACTACAGAAAAAAAAAAAAACCACACCAAGGGGTAGGGCTGAGGAAGAACCCCTTCAAATGAACATCAAGGATAGCCCAGAAGGAGAAAAGCAGTGTGAAAGGGCAAAGGACAATACGACAGAAATGCTGAGGGTGGCTTGGAGACTGAGATTATATGAGCTTCAGGCCACCTTGGGCAACCGCTGGCAGAAAACTACCTCCACTGCCAAACGCTGGGCCCCTGGATCACACCACCAGGGAGCCATCAAGCTCAAGCCCCTGGGACGGCACTGCTTTATTCCTCTCTGCCCCTCATCTCATAGGATCCTTGGATTTCACCAATTATGGGTTCTAAAAGGCCCACTGGCTCAGAAATGTTCAACCTGGCTTTGCACTAGAATCTCTTAAGAAGCTTCTTAAAAATACAGAGCTCTAGGCCCCAGGCCCAGAGATTCTGATTAAGTAGGCCTGGGGAGAGGCTGGAACTCTATGTTCTGCAGCATGGCCAGGCAGAGACCCCGATCCAGGGGAGAAGTTGCCCTTCCTTCTCTGCTCCAGTCCCCCCACCCTCCCTGAGGCCTGCTGACCCCCAAAGTAGGATCCATCAGTGAGGCGGGTGTCCTGGGTGCCACGTGCCAGCACACTGAGCAGCCCGTGCTGGATGAAGTACATCTTCCTGCCCACAGAGCCCTCACGCACAACAAGGTCCCCCGGCTGGAAGACCTCAAAGCGCAGCTTGGTAAGCACCGCCGTGACGAAACTGGGGTCAGCATGGGCGAACAGCGGCATGTGGGCCACCAGGCCCCTGCAGGTGAAGTTAATGATCTCCTGAGAAGGGGAGAGGCCTGTCAGGCAAGCTGTGCCCCCTATCCTCAGGTGCCCCTATCGAGCTCATTTGTCTCCAGAAGCCCCACCCCAGGGGTCATGATCTGCAAGGATGGGGATGCTTCAGTGAGCCTGGGTCCATCCCTAAGCTCCTGCCTTCAGAGCTTTCCCATGAGCCCTCAAAGGACTATTCCCCCAAGACAGATATCCCTGCCATCACTCCCTATGTACACTTCATCTCCATATGAATGTCAAGAAAAACATTAGCTCCTGAAATCCCCCCACCCAAAGGCCTGGCTTGCCATGGTGCTCTCTGCTGACCAATAGCCCCTACCCCTGATGGCATCCTAAAAGCCCAGGCATTGGAAGAGCCCCCCCCGGGCCCCGCTCAGTCCTACCTCCTGAAGTGGCTCGCTCAGCTCGCCTAGGATGTTCTCCTCATCAAACATCTTGCCCTGGTAGCGGTGCTCATAGTACTCATGGATGCGCTGCCGGGTGTCAGCCGGCAGCTTGTGGAAGGACATATACTGCTCCACCTGCTTGTACTGGAGGACCGGACAATGGCCAGCAGGAAAGAGGACACAGAGACAGACATGGGGCCAGAATAGTGGAGGCGAGTATATGTGGAGGAGGGTCACAAACATGGACCAAACCCAGAGAAGCAAAACATGAAGACAGAAGGGGACACAGAAGGACATATGGATAATGGTGGATACAGGGAGGACACAAAGCACAGTTACAGGAAAATCCAGACAGGCAGAGGAGAGATCCAAGGACAGGGGCATAAGTCCAAATAAGGAAAAGGTACACATAGGGGCGCAGGACAAATGGACATGGGGCAAGGAAGGACACAGAGAACCAACAGGGGTATGTGTCAGAACAGGCCTCAAGTTCAACTACCCAGCCTCCAGCACCCCTTCATGCCCACCCCTTCCTTCTTCTGTCCCTGCTGACCTTCTCTTGGTACTGACGCCGGGAGGAGTCCAGGGACTGGATGAGGGCGGTGGCGTGGCCAATGAACATGGCATAGCAGGTGGCACCCACAATCATGCTGAACATGGTGAGCCAGATGTCAGGCATGCCTACAGGTGCCTGCTGCCCATAGCCAATGCACAGCATGTGGCTCATGGCCTTGAACAGGGCGTGGGAATACTGGCGGCCCCATGAGTGGTTCTGGAGAACAAAGTATTGCACAGCTGGGCAGAGGGCCCTCAGAACCTCATTCTCATCCTGGCCCTTTCTCTCTTTTAGTTCTCCTGCCTACCCCATTCATTTCATATCCGCCTCCAAGGAGGCACGTAAGTTTGGTTCTGAGGAGCCCTGAGGCAGAAAGGGTCTCTTTTGCAGCTTGGGGTCCTTAGTTTCTGCCTCTGTTTCCTTCCCTGTCTGGTCCCTCGAACACACACTTCCTCAGGGTCTCTTTCCCCTTCCTCTCACTTCCCCACCTCCTCGCCCCTGTCTTCTCTCTTGGACATCTCTCCATCTCTCACCTCTTGCCCATTGTGGTCATCCCACTACTCAGGCAGAAGCACCCTTAGAATGCCCAGGAGAGGCAGAGCTGTGGGGAGATCTCACCACCATGTGGTTGATGAAGACCCAGCAGTCGGGAGGAAAGTCCTGCAGCATGGGGACCAGGAACTGTAGACAGCCATCCCAGTGACATAGCAGCAGCATCATCCCGATGAGGTTGAAGATGCGAACCACAGCACTGGCCAGGTCATAGGTCATGTGAAAGATCTGAGGATTCCGAGGAGGTGCCACTGTGGACAGGAACCCTTCCTGACAATCTCCTGCATTCCCAGCCTTGCAAATCCTCTCTTTGAACTTCTCTCTAGCTCCAGACCCATGAATTAAAAAAATGTAGCCATTATTTGTACAGAGCTTTATAGCACATATATATAGCTAATACAAAGTAGGCTGTGTTACTACTCTCATCTTACAGATAGACAAATCGCTGCCAACCATGTGCCCAGAATCACACAGTATCACATCAGAAGCTCAAAAAAGTCTGCTTCACAAGCTGCCTAGTCGTAGCCTGGAAAAGAGGAGAGAAGGCATTTCATAGTGCAATGTCACCAGGGCATTACACAGTGTATAAGGATTAATGCCAGCAGCCTTCTTCCTCTCCTATAACAGGTAATTTGTTGAGAACTTATTATGTGCCAGCACCATTCTAAGTGCTTTACAGGTATTAGCTTATTTAACCCTATAACCTTATCCTATGTAAGCATATTTAACATTCTCATTTTATAGGAGGGAAAACCAAGCCTCATATAGTAAATAGTAAAATTGGGATCTGATCACCGGCAATGAGATTGCAGAGCCCACACTCTGAACCACTAAACCCTGCCGCCCTGAAGCTGAAACTCCAGCCTCTTCCACACCACGTAATTCCTAGCCCTCCTCTCACATCTTCCTCCCAGATGCCAACTAACCCTCAAGTACTTCTCCAGCAGCTGTGTTCCACCTTCCTGCAGCACCATCCTCATTTCGGGACCCCATCTCCTGAACCTGCATTCTGTTCCTGCTTCTCCCTCACCAACTTTGGAGAGAGCCCACCCTCAGAAGCCCCACACATCTGTCCACCCCATAAAGTCATCAGGAGTCCCACCCATAGCACAGTCTCTGAGGAGTCTGTGAGCCCCCCTGGCCACCTCCCCGCCCCACCTCCTCCCACTGGTGTATGTAGCGGATGAGGCGGGAGAGGCGGAGCAGCCGCAGCAAGCTGAGGATCTTGGTGAAGCGCACTATGCGTAGGGCCCGCGCTGTTTTGTAGACCTCAGCGTCCAGTCGTGGCTCCAGCTCCACCACCAGAAAGATGTAATCCACAGGGATCGAGGAGATGAGATCAACCAGGAACCAGGTGCGCAGGTAGCGTGTGCGGATGGCCTGTGGTGCGAGCAGGATCTCAGCGCCTTCCTCGACCACGATGCCTGTGCGGAAGTTGAGCACCAGATCCAGCAGGAAAAAAGTGTCTGAGAGGACGTTGAAGACGATCCAAGGTGGGGAGTTCTCCTCCTTGAAGAAGGTGATGCCCACGGGCAGCACAATAAGGTTCCCCACCATCAGCAAGAGCATGATCAGGTCCCAGTAAAACCTAAGGTGGGGATGGGATAGGGAGTAAGACCACAATGACTTTTCACCAGCCACCTCGACTAACAGCAGAGACTCTGACCCGGCCAAAAGTGGGCAAGGATGCAGAAAAACGGGTGACCATTTACAGTTGATAAGAGTGTAAATTGAGACCACCACTTAGAAAAATAGTTTGGCATTATAGTAAAGTTAAATATTTGCATTCCCAGTGGTTCCATATATACATCTGAGGAGATATATATAGAAACAGCAGCCCTCCCCCGGTGTGGCTCAGTGGTTGAGTGTCGACCCCTGTACCAAGAGGTCGCTAGTTCCATTCCCTGTCAGTGCACATGCCTGGGTTGTGAGCCAGATCCCCAGTGGGGGGCATGCAGGAGGTGGCTAGTGGATGTTCTCTCTCATTGATATTTCTATCTCTCTCTCCTTCTCTTTTCCACTCTCTCTAAAATCAATAAAGAAAAACAATTACAATTTTTTTAAAGAAAGAAAGAAATAGCAGCATTAAGTCTGGAAAAACCCTGCATGTTCATCAGTTGAAAAATGTAGATAAATAAGATAAATACACTGTAATATAATTATGCCCTGGAATACTATACAACTGTGAACTCATCCAACTGCAGCTACATGCCACAGTATGAATGAATCTCACATAAAATTTTTTTGTTTTATTTGTTTGTTTGTTTTTATCCTCACCCGAGGACATTTTTCCATTTTTTGTTCAGGTAGAGTGGGAGGGAGGGAGGGAGAGAGAGAGAGAGAGAGAGAGAGAGAGAGAGAGAGAGAGAAACATCGATGTGAAAGGGACACATCGAGTGGCTGCCACCCGCACAACCAACCAGGGCTGGGGACAAACCACAACTGAGGTACGTGTCCTTAGCAGGAACCGAACTCAGGTCTTTCTGGACCACAGGCTGGCCAGGGCAAATTTTTTTGTTTTAATTTTCACCCGAGGATATGTTTTTTATTGATTTTTTTAGAGAGAGAGAAAGGGTGAGAGAGAGAGAAACATCAATGTGAGAGAGAAACATCTATCGGTTGCCTCCTATATGAGCCCCGGCTGGGACTGAACCCACAACCTAGGTATGTGTCCTGACCGGGAATCGAACCCGAAATCTTTTGGTGTACAGGACAATGCTCCAACCAACTCAACCACCCAGCCAGGGCTGAATCTCACAAATTTAATGTTGAGCAAAAGAAGCAAGATACAAAAGTATACACACTGGATGATTCCACTTGTACAAGGTTCAAAAATAGCCATACTAAACTGCATAATTTAAGGATTCACACAAAAAAATGTGAAACTATAAAGCAAAATAAGAAAATGAATACCATACATTAGTACAAATGAGTACATTACAATAGTGGGTTTGGGAAAGAAATGCAAGAGCAGTAGAGAGGCTTCTGGGGTACCAGCAATGTAGTCTGTGTTGACCTAGATAGTGAATTACTCTTTCAAATATATATATATATTAAACTCTCTCTCTCTATCTACTACGTGTGTGTATACACATATATACACTATGTATCCACTATATATCTCTATTATATATATCCCTATATATATACATATATATCTTCTTAATATGCAGGGTGGGGTAGACTGTCAGGAGCCAGAGGGGAGGAGGATAGGGGTGACTGGATTAAGAAGTTGAAGGGATTAGCTGAAGAACATATATGCATATCCCATGGACATGGACAATAGTGTGGTGAAGGCCAAAAGAGAGGGAGATGAAGGGGGGGGTAGGTAGACAAAGGGGGAGAGGAATGGGGGAAGTCTACAATAATGTCAATATTGAAACTTTTTAATTAAAAAAAATACAGGGTGGGGCAAAAAGTAGGTTTACAGTTGTTTGTATGGAAAAATGCAATAATTAATACATAATAATACAAGAATAAACTGTGTTTTGCATACCCATAACTGTAAATCTACTTTATTATTATTATTTTATTATTATTATTTTTAACCCTCACCTGAGGATATTTTTCCATTATCTTCCGATAGAGTAGGAGGGTGAGAGAGAGAAACAATGATGCGAGAGAGACACATCGACTGGTTGCCTCCCTCATGCCCCCCAACCAGGGCCGAGAACCGGACCAAACCACAACCAAGGTACGTACCCTTGACCAGAATCGAACCAGAGACGCTTTGGTCTGAGGACTGATGATCTAACCACTGAGCAAAACCAGCCAGGGCTGTAAATCTTTGCCCCACCCTGCATATGACATATATGTAATATCCTTACTATATATACGATCTATGTCACTATTATATTTTTATTTTATTTTAATTTATTGATTCTAGAGACAGTGGGGAAGGGAGGAAGAGAGAAAGAGAAACATCTGTTTGTTTTTCCACTTATGCACCCACTGGTTGATTCTTATATGTGCCCTGACTGCTCTGACCAGGGATCAAACCCCATAACCTTGGCAGATAGAGATGATGCTCCAACCAACTGAGTTACTTAGTCCAGGACCTTCTTTTTTTTACCCTCACCCGAGGACATTTTTCCATTTTTTGTTCAGATAGAGTGGGAAGGAGAGAGAGAGAAACATCGATGTGAAAGGGACACATTGAGTGGCTGCCTCCTGCATGACCCAACCAGGGCCGGGGACAAACTGCAATCGAGGTACATGCCTTAGCAGGAACTGAACCCGGGGGTCTCTGGACTGCAGGCTGACGCTCTAACTGCTGAGCCAAACCGGCCAGGGCAGTCCAGGACCTTCTTTAAAGTTAAAAATAAAGTGCCCTGGCCAGTTTGGCTCAGCTGTTAGAACATTGGCCTGCGGACCAATGAGTTACAGATTCGATTCTGGTCAAGGGCACGTATCTTGTTGTGGTTCATCCCCTGACCATGGTGGGGTCCTGTGGGAGGCAACCAGTCGATGTGGCTCTATCACATCAATGTTTCTCTGTCTCTCTGTCTCTGTCTCTGTCTCTGTCTCTCCCTCCCTCCCTCCTTCCCTCCCACTCTATCTGATAATAGTAGAAAAATATCCTCGGGTGAGGAATAAAACAAAACAAAACAAAAAAATAAAGTACCCTGTGCTAATTTCATAGGGTTGTTGAAAAAAAAAATATGCACTGACAGTGAATGTGACAGTGGTATACAAGTACTAGTTGGTGTTATGACTCACCACTCTTTAAAACATTTTTTTCTTTATTGATTTTAGAGAGAGAGAGACAGAAACATCGATGAGAGAGAACATCAATTGGCCGCCTCCTGCATGCCCCCCATTGGGGATGGGGCCCACAACCCGGGCATGTGCCCTGACCAGGAATCGAACCGGTGACCTCTTGGTACATGGGTCAACACTCAACCACTGAGCAACACCAGCTGGGCTGTTGTTCCACTTATTTATGCATTCATTTGTTGATTCTTTTTATTTTATTTTTATTTTTTTATCCTCACCTGAGGACATTTTTGCATTTATCTTCAGACAGAGCGGGAGGGAGACGGGGGAAAGAGAGAGAGAGAGAAACATTGATGTCAGAGAGACACATCGCCTGGTTTCCACCCACACCACCCCAAACGGGGCTGGAGACAAACTGCAACCGAGGTATGTGCCCTTAGCAGGAACTGAACCTGGGTCTTTCTGGTCCACGGGCCAATGCTCTAACTGCTGAGCCAAACCGGCCAGGGCTGAGGATATTTTTCCATTGCTTTTGTTTTGTTTTTCTTTTATTAATTTTTTTTTAGTGAGAGAGATAGAAACATCAATGTGAGAAACAGATTGGCTGCCTCCTGCACGCCCCCTACTGGGGATCCAGCCTGCAACCCAGGCATGTGCCCTGACCAGGAATCGAACCAGGACTTCTCAGTCCATGGGACAATGCTCAATCCACTGGGCCATACCTGCTGGGCTTTTCCATTGATTTTAGATAGAGTGGAAGGAAGTAAAGGAGGGAGAGAGAGAAACATCAATGAGAGAGACACATGGACTGGCTGCCTCCCAAACCTGCCCTGATCGGGACTGGCGATCGAACCTGCAACCCAGGTATGTGCTTTTGATGGGGAATCGAACTTTTGACCTTTTGGTGTGTGGACTCATGCTCTAACCACTAAGAAGCATAGGCCAGGGCTGTAATTTTATTGGTTTTTTAGAGAGGGGGAGAGAGAAACATTGATGTGAGAGTGGAACATCGATTAGCTGGCTCCTGCAAGCCCCCTACCGGAAATGGAGCCCACAACCTGGGTATGTGCACTGACTGAGAATTGAACCAGCGACCCTGGGGTGCACAGGATGATTCCCAACCAATTGAGCCACGCCAGCTAGGATGTTTATTTTTAAAAATTTTTGATTTAATTAAAAATATTTTTTCCTTTATTGATTTGAGAGAGAGAGGGAGAGAGAGATAGAAACATTGATGAGAAAGAACATCGATTGGCCGCCTCCTGCATGCCCCTCACTGGGGATGGGGCCCACAACCTGGGCATGTGTCCTGACCAGGAATCAAACCAGTGACCTCTTGGTGCATGGGCTGAAACTCAACCACTGAGCCACACCGGCTGGACATAATTTTTTTTTTTTTAATCCTTACCAACGACATAGTCATTGGTCTTCAGAGAGAGGGGAAGAGATAGAGGAGAGAGAAACACCGATGGGTTGCCTCCTATAGGGCCCCGACTGGGGATGGAACCCACAACCTTTCAGTGTACGGGACAACGCTCTAACCAACTAAGCCACACTGGCCAGGGCACATTTTTTTCTTTTGTTCATTGGTTGATTCTTGTATGTGCCCTGACCGGGAATCAAACCCACAACCTTGAGGTATTGGGAGGGTTGCTCTAACCAACTAAACTACAGTATGTGGCCAGGGCCCTGACTCGCCACTGTTTATTCAAAGATTTCTGAAAAGGTTGCTGTTTCTCCCAGCTCCCTGCCCATTAGTAGTCTAGGACTTCATACTCTCTCCAGCTTTTGTTATCCCAACCCTCTTCCACAACACAGTTAGACCCATGGTTCCTGTTTCTCTGCTGGGATCTGCTCATCTGTGTTCCAGGATGAAAATGGTCTCCTGCCTCCACCTGAACTAAGCTTTTCAGGGATGCCCCTCCCCCTCCCCATCACCTCAGGCCAGGTTGCACATATAGAGAAGCTCCACAGGAGATCCTGCGGGGGGGGGGGGGGGGGAGGCTTGAAGCTCTGTGCTTCTTTCCTCCCCTAACCTCCCAGTGCCCACTGAGATTCTTGCTGAGCTCAGGCAAGGGCTTGGGCACGGGAGAGCCATATTGCTGTGGTGACAGCTGTGGGAAGAAGAGGTCAGGAGGGAGCTAGGTGAAGCCCTCATTCAGGAAAAAAAAAATCACTGGACAATCCGAGGGTACCAATTAGCAATGATATGTTTAATTCCAGGACACCCCTAATTATAGCATCGACTCAGGACCCAGTCCCTTCTTACTCTGACTGCAAAATCAATTATTTCAGCCCCTAAAAGAAGTTTGGTGGTCCCCAAGTCCAGGCTTCCAGGCAGCCCTTTAGACTGTGTGCTTTTGATCAACAACAAATCCTCAAACCCCTCTTCTCCCTCCTGGGCCGCTAGAGAAGTCCTATACTGTAAAGTGGGGGAGGAGATAGAACGAGGGTTCACCTAGCCATAGAGCATCCTCACTGCCTGACTCAGGCAGTCACAAGCCTGGCAGGTGATGCAGTAGAGGACAGAGAAGAAGCACAAAAATAAGGGGAAACATGACTTCTGGGGATACATCAGAGGGTGAAATGGGGGAAGGGAGGGAGATCCACAGGAGACTAGGAAATGTGCATGGTGGGGTGGGAATGAGGCAGTAAAGAAGATGTGAGTGAAAGAAACAACGGGAGAAAGGAACATTTAGGGAATGTATATGAATGTGTATTCAAGATGATGTCTAGGTCTCCAATTGCGTTTTCCAGTCTCTTGGTGCACACCTCATCCTTTCAGCTTATTTCGCTCCCCAGGTTAGGTGCTTTGCACACATCCTCACCTCATCCAATAGTTGTCCTTCAATAGCTGTCCTTCATTTCCCCCAAGGACAGGGCTGCTCTCCTCCCCTAGCGCCCTTGATGTAAAGTTGCAACCAGATGCGGACTATGAAATGGCTCCGCCCCCAGCCCCGGTCTTTTCTCTCTGGTGGTGGCAGTGCCGAGTTGCTGTCAACAGTCGCTGTGAGTCCCTGCCCTGCTCCACCACAACCCGCCTTCAGCACCAGGGACAGCTACCAGGGCTGCTGTCAGAAATCCCTGCCATTTCTCCCTCAGTGTCCCTATTTTTCCAGATAGCCTGCCCAGCTGAACTAGGCAGGTGCTGGGGTGGAGTGTGTGTGTGGGGAAGGGCCGGGGGAAAGATAGCGAAACTCGGTTTTTCTCTCAGGCTGACCGAGTCTTGGAATATGACATAATTTCCCAGATCACCAGCAAGCAGTACTGGAGGAGGCAAGGATCCCTAACTCCAGTAGTCCCTGTGGTCCAGATGGGGTGCTGGGGTCCTGAAATGGGAAGTCCAGGTCTCTGTCGTCTGCTTGTCTTGAAGTCACTGAAAATTCCCAGGCTAGGATGGTGGAAGGGACTCTCTGCCCCACCCAGGGATGCCGGAAATGAAGTGACCGTGAAGGGTGGGGCGGGTCCAGTCCCCGTGTCGCGGCTGTGGGAATGGGATCTGTGTCTCCCGCCCCCCTGCCGGGACCCCAGTACCGGAAGTCGCTGTAAGGGTGGATGATCCAGGCCCCCGCTGACTTGACCCGCTCCTGCTCGATTTCCACTGCTTTGTGGCTGCCGAACACACGAAGGGAGAACTTGTTGACCGTGGGCTGGAGCAGCGTCCCGAGCGGCCTCCGCTTGGGTTCGGGTTCGAATACAGACCCGGGGATCTGAACCGAGGTGGCAGTCGCAGGCGCCGGTACTGCAGGAGGCGCCGCCTCCAGCCCAGGGGTCGCCCAGTCGCCGGCCCTGGTCGTCGGCCGCGGCTCCGCCTCCATGACTCCCCACGGCCTACACGCTTTCCCTTCTAGACCCTGCTGCGGCCATCCGGGAACCCCCGGACCCTCCCGGAATCGGAGCCGGCGCAGCCCCGCGGGTTCGGAGTGGAGGTGTAGTCGGCAGGGAACCGACAGCGCGCGGGGCAGAAGGGGTGTGTGGGACAGACAGCTGGGCGAGTTGCGCTGCGCCCCCTGGCGAAGTCCGCGGGATAGCTGGGCAGGGCAGGTGGGGGCGGGGCCGTCCGCGAGCCTTCTCGGTGGGACGGGGCCAATAAAGTGTATCCCGGAGGGACTCAGAAATGGGCGTGGCTTAGCGAATAGGGTCGGTTCTCTAAGTGGAGGAGGAGGAGGAGGGAAAGCGCAGCAGGAGCCACGGAGAGGGCGTGGCCTAGAATTGATGGACTTTTATTCACTGAGTGCCAGGGAGGTGGAGCCGCCTGCAAGTGGCGGGAAAACCGGAAGCAAGTTGTAGCTGGTGAGACTAAGGAAGGCGAGGGAATGGGGACCAATGGAAGAGGTGGGGAATGGCTTTTGATATTCGTCTTCCCCACTCTCGCTCATGAACTTCCAGTATCCCACTTTCTTTCTCTCAGCACTCTGTAGGCATATTCCTTTCTTCTGTTCTCCCTACTGCTCACCCTGGTATTTCACTTTCTTAATTCTTTATGCTAACCTTCACCAAATAGGACTCTACCAGTCACTGAATGGATGCTGAGGATACAACAGTTGGTACAGATCTCATCTCCTCTAGGAAACCTAGACACATTTCCAAATATCCTTTCCCCAAGTAGGGTCTAGTCTAGAGCTTTCCAAGTGTCTAGGGTACCATTGTTTATAATCACTCGTCACGAGACTGCCATTATCTACTTACAGGTCTTTTTCTCCCATTAGACTATGAAGCTCTGAATAACCTGGCACAGTGCTGGACACATAGTGGTTACTCAGTAAATGTTGGTTGAATGAACGAATGACCTGGGAAAGTGTTCTTGGAGGAGGAAGTGGATTTGCATTCTGTCCTCCCGGCCACTCATTACCCTTTGTCTTCTATTTTAGGGAACTTTTCCTAAACCATTTCTAGCTAACAGATCTAAACTCTATCTGACAGTCCTCCATCCCAGCTCCCCTCTGATATTCCGACTGTAATGGTTCTTTTTCTCTTTCTATTTTTTAATTCCTTCTATAGCATCTGTAACTGCCCAGTTTGTCTCAAGGTCCCTTTCTCTTTCCTTTTTTTTTTTTTTAAACTCTGTAAACTTACACTTCTCATATAATGTGGAAGTACATAACATACACTCCTCAAGTGATTTCCCCTTTTTCAGCACCCAATTCTCCTCCATCCCTCCTTTTCTCAAACCTTTCCTTCACGGCCATGCTCCCCACTCCACATGTGCAGTTTTTGTTTAGGACAAAAGGTGGGAGTCAGTCTCTCTTTGCTGTGGTTAGGAAGCTGAACTGCTTTAACAACTGTATATATGCAGGCTACGCTGGAGAATCAAAACTCACCACCAAATCTCAAAAGGTTTGCGAAGCGGCGACACTCCCTAATTAACAACCCCTTCTTTTAAATCTCCCAGCCTAATTAAGTCAGCAAAGTCTCCTGAAAGGGGCAAAAGATTGAAGAGGGGTAGGTAAGGACACGAGGCGGAGATGAGTGGGCCTGGTGAGCGCCAGCGACTCCCTCACCACGCCTAGCAACCTCCGCCCTCGGTACCTCCTCGGCTCTTGCTGGCGGACGCCCACAAACTAGGCGAGAACGCGGTGACGTGCGCGCCCATGGGGGCGGAGCCCGGGGATAACTGGGAAGCGACGCAGAACGTGAGAGCGTACGTGCTCGCTCACGGTGGCAGCGGCGGATCGGAGAGGCCAGAGCAGGAGACCTAGCTGGGATCGGGCCCCGGGCGGGGGCGGTGCGAGCGGCCCCCAGCGGATCCTCGGGGCGGGGACGGAGCCGGGGCGGGCGGGACTGGAACAGAGCCCGGGAACAAGGCGGGAGGTCCCAGGGTCTCGGGTTGGGGGGTGGAGCCGCACTTCGTCGCCGCGGGGGTGCCGGGACTCCCGGCCGCAGTGCCGCCGCCATCACGGACTTCCTGTGGGACAAGCGCACGGGCCTCGCCGCCAGAACGGTGAGCGCGCGGGCTGGCGGGCCGCGGGGCCGCGCGGAAAGATGGCGACCGCAGGGCGGGTGGGGTAGGATTGTATTGGGGGCAAGGGACCAGGGCAAGATTAGGAGACGAAGAGGGTTGAGACCTGTGAAGCGGCAGAGTTGAGGAGTAGAGAGTTGAGGTGGAAGATCAGTTTGCCTTAGATGTATCGGGGAAGACCTATAGGAAATTTGGGAGGAACCAAAGTAGGAGAAGGTGATGGAGTAGGGCTAGGAGTGGTTACAGAGACAAGAAAGAGCAGAATGCTAAAGTTGGAGCAAGACTGGAAAAGAGGGAAGACAGCATCGTGTCACTTGGAGGATACGGAAAGAGTTTGACTCCAGAAATTAGTTCTGGATTTTCTGAGTGAGAAAGGGAAAATAAAGGTTTAGAAGTCTAGACAGGTTGTAGGCCGGAGATGCTTTATGAGAGAAGGCCTATGAGGAACTTTGGTGGCAGTCTCTGTAAGGTGAGATGACATTTATGTGGCTAAGCAATGGTGGATTGCCTGGAAGAATCTTGTGCTTACATCTTCTTGGCTTCCTATATAAACCCTGTTAAGGTAGGAATGTATTATATGTCCCCCTTCTCCTCAATTTGAAGATATTGGACCGAGGTAGCCCAGAGTGGGAGCCAGATTTTTGAGTCATTGGCCTTTCCACATCTACTCCCCACCGAATCTCTCCCTAGGCCTGTATCATTTCATTATGCCCTCCTGTTCTCATCTTCCTAGATTGTGACAGTGATTTCTTATTCTTTCCCTGAAGGAAAAAAAAGGATTTGTACACCATGCTATTCCAATTCAATCACTGGAAGAGGGCTGGCTCTTGGCCAAGTAGTGCTGATATTAATTAAAAACCCGTTATTCTGTACTTCATAAGCAAAAAGGGGAGAGGCCAGATGGGAAGCTGACTGCAGCTTGGGGCCTCTAGTATTAAAACCTCTCAAAGGGTGCTTAGATAGAGGTGTGAGAGATGATTAGGACAGTTCAAGGGGCCAGACTCAAATCTCTAGAACTTGTTTATATTTGGTATACACTGCTGTATGTAGAAACCTGGTAAATGGGATTCCTGCTCTCAACATGGATGGTCTAGTTGTGGAGATACAGTACACTCTGAATAACTGTAAAACATTTATTATGATAGTGTATATTAAAGCTTTATTCTATTGAGTTGTGAGAAACTCAGCATGACACAGATCTATCTTAGATCTCAGCCAAGGAAGAACTCTGGCAGTGTCTTTCAGTTACACCATCTCACCTATAATGAGCTGTGGCCCAGACCTGAAGGTCTTGGAACCATGTGAAAAGTCAGAGTTGAGCAATGTGCAGAGTTGGGCGTAATTAAAGGATTGAGATGGTTAGGGGAAAGCTTCTTAGAGTTTTCAGCCAGAGTTAGTAAGTGAATACTGTATATACTCCATTAAGGAGGAATTGTAAGCACAGAGGGTAGTCAAAAGAGAGAGAAATAAAAGAGAAGAAAGCAGGTAGGCACCTTTGGAGCAGTCAGTCCTTGAAGGGGACTTCTGAAAACTCGGCTTTCCCCACTATTTCTGCTTTTCCTTCTCTTCAGATGCCTCATCCCCGAAGGTACCACTCCTCTGAACGAGGCAGCCGGGGGAGTTACCATGAACACTATCGAAGCCGAAAGCATAAGAGACGAAGAAGCCGCTCCTGGTCAAGTAGCAGTGACCGGACACGACGACATCGGCGGGAAGACAGTTACCATGTTCGTTCCCGGAGGTGAGGCCTCTTACTTCGTATTCAAGGTCACTTACTCATTCATTCAACAAAAGCCCTGGCCGGTTTGGCTCAGTGGTTAGAGCGTTGGCCTGCGGTCTTGAGAGACCCGGGTTCGGTTTCCGCTAAGGGCATGTACCTTGGTTGCGGTTTGTCCCCGGCCCTGGTTGGGTTGTGTGGGTGGCAGCCACTCGATGTGTCCCTTTCACGTCGATGTTTCTCTCTCTCTCTCTCTCTCTCTCTCACCCACTCTATCTGAACAAAAAATGGAAAAAATGTCCTTGGGTGAACATAAAAAAAAAAAAAGTAAATAAATAAAAACAAAGGTTTATTGGTTACGTGCTCAGCACCTGGGTGAAGGTGATACTCAAGATGGATGACAAAGTAAGGCATTCGCACTGTGATGTAAAGATTGTTATAGAGGAAGTATGCAATAAAGGGCTGAGGAAGCATCTAGCAGGTTTGGTTGGAGTGGGGCAGGATGTATATAGTTCAAGGAAAATTTCTCAGAGAGTATAACATCTAAGCTCCTCTGACATAAGGGTGAAGTGTCCCAGGTGAAGGGAAAGCAAATACAAGGACTAGGGGCTGGAAGTAGCTAATGAGCTAATGGACAAGACAGTTAGGTCTGCATGGTTTTAATAACTTAGCAGTATATTCAGTGGGAGGGATGGATTAGGGATAGTTTGGAGCAAAGCTGGATGTCAGGAAAGGCTTGAAAAAGAAATGGCTCTTTGTTCCATTACATCACTGGAGGGAAGGAGATGGCTCCCAGAGGATGTAATTCTGCAGATGTCTTTTCAGAGGTCTTGGTGACAGGTGGTGAGTCTCCTCTGCACTTAGTTACTTCAGTTCTCTGATCCTTGGTCCTCTCAGTGACTCGATAGGTGTCTAACAGCAATTTTTCCAGCAGTGCTCTTTGTCTTCACTGAGGGAGGACCTTGTCACATGGTGTGGCAAGGAATATGCCTGATCAGATGCATCTAATGGGTGTATATTGTTCAACAGCAGTTATGATGATCATTCCTCCGATCGGAGAGCATATGACCGGCGATACTGTGGCAGCTACAGACGCAATGACTATAGCCGGGATCGGGGAGATGCCTACTATGACACGGACTA